TAAGAATTTATGTATCAGGTTACTAAGAGTAGAAATTGTATTAATCATGTTACTAAGTTTGTGGTTTCAAGTTAGAACATATTGTCATTGAGAAGTTGAGAATTACTTGGATCCTTCAGTGTTACAAGTAATATCCCAATACATTGTTATTCTATCTATCCAGCTGTACAAATTATAATTGGCATCTTGTGGGAAGTAACCACATGATAGCCTGGTGTTTCCCTAAAGAGAACCAATAAATCTCAATTGATACATAGTTTAACCATTTTAGCTGACTTTAGAATGATATAAAACCTGACATGCTGGTACCCTTTTCATTTGATGACAGCCGATGTCTAGTAAAACCCTAACCCATATGTCTATGCTGCATTGTATTTTATTAACCAGTAATAAGCCCACTCCCAGACTTTGAGTAATAAGTTATGTGTTGGTCCTCGGGGCTTATTACAGGATAAATAGGACAATTGTGGTTAAAAAAGTAAAGATATCTGGATATGAACATTCAAGTTCAGCATCATTATTTTAGTATAAATGTTTTGTTAAAAAGACATTGACAAATTAGAATTAGCCACTTTGTTTGTTCTAAAATCTTGGGAAACTTATAGTTTGACACATCAGAATTAGCCAGCTCTTGTTTGTTCTAAAAATCTCTGGAAATTGTTTTGAGTTTGACACGTCAAAGTTAGCCAACTCTTGTTTGTTCTAAAAACTCGGGGAAACTGTTATAAGTTCGACACGTCAGAGTTAGCCAACTTTGTTTGTTCTGATAATTATTGAAACAATAGCCTACAACAATTATAGAAATTAGCTGTGTTCCTTTAATTTGACAATAGGGATTGTTAAATTATGTATTACAAGTCATTATCACGACCAGGCCACCTTGACAGTGGCTTTGTTACCATGTCATAATGAACTGTTATTAACATACAATTACTAGAGAAATTTAGAGACAAATGATATAATGTCACCCCATACAATCTGTCGCTGCTCCCAGATCATGAGAACTTATGCCAGCGGAAACATTTAACCAAGCATTGTCAGCTTAATCAAATAAATTGAAAATAATAATTATTTCATGTTTGCTATCCAAAGGTGTTGTTTAAACATTTATATGCTTTGTTTGACTTTCAAACTGATTTTACAAACAAAAAATAAAACTGTTTGGAATTTTATTGGAAATTTCTAGATTTAAAAAAAAAAAAATTATTGATCTAAAGCTGTGGAGGCTTTGAATAAAATGTTTGTAGTTGTTACATGCTGGCTGAGATCAATACAAGGTATTTTCTACACTGGGCACCGACACAAGATCTCGATATACCCTGTGGCTGGAAATGAACCTTTACATCACATGTCTGTAGTTGTGGCTGGATGTGTCTGCTAGCAACATCATAGGCTTGTTGCCAACTTTGACAGCTTAAACAGAATGACCTTGAAATTTGATTGCTGCAAACGTGTTTTGACCTTGTGTTTATCTGACCTTGACCTTTGGTTAAGGTGCCTTGGCCTTGCTCTGATGCTGAAGTGCTGGACAGTATCTGTGAATCTGTCCATCCAGTAATTTGGAACATATTCAAGTTGGTAAAACAAGAAAATATGTAACAGTTTGTAGCACAGATTTTGTTGTGTATCTTGTTTGACCTTGACCTTGTGTGTTGACATTGATTTGAGTGTGATGGTGTGTGCTACTGGGAATGGAATCATATACACTGGGATCCTAATAGAACCTTATGTTTGAAAATCTGATGGAATGTTCTCAACAAAGGTTTGTGTTAATATTAATGTCAAGATTGAATACTGAATAAATCTGTAATATCATAACTGAAATTTCTTTTTTTTTTAAATTTTACATTAGTTGACATTGCATGTTTGATATTTTAAAGAAGGTATGATTTCACTGTTGTCCCTGAAGGTATGATTTCACTGTTTTCCATGAAGGTAAGATTTCACTGTTCTTCATGAAGGTAAGATTTCACTGTTGTTCATGAAGGTAAGATTTCACTGTTGTCCCTGAAGGTAAGATTTCACTGTTGTCCATGAAGGTAAAATTTCACTGTTGTTCATGAAGGTATGATTTCACTGTTGTCCATGATGGTAGGATTTCACTGTTGTTCCTGTAGATAAGATTTCACTGTTGTCCATGAAGGTAGGATTTCACTGTTGTTCCTGTAGATAAGATTTCACTGTTGGCCATGAAGGTAAGATTTCACTGTTGACCATGAAGGTAAGATTTCACTGTTGTCCATGAAGGTAAGATTTCACTGTTGTTCCTGAAGGTAGGATTTCACTGTTGTCCATGAAGGTAAGATTTCACTGTTGTCCCTGAAGGTAAGATTTCACTGTTGTCCATGAAGGTAAAATTTCACTGTTGTTCATGAAGGTATGATTTCACTGTTGTCCCTGAAGGTAGGATTTCACTGTTGTTCCTGTAGGTAAGATTTCACTGTTGTCCCTGAAGGTAAGATTTCACTGTTGTCCATGAATGTAGGATTTCACTGTTGTCCCTGAAGGTAAGATTTCACTGTTGGCCATGAAGGTAAGATTTCACTGTTGTCCATGAAAGTAGGATTTCACTGTTGTTCCTGAAGGTAGGATTTCACTGTTGTTCCTGTAGGTAGGATTTCACTGTTGTTCCTGTAGGTAAGATTTCACTGTTGTCCCTGAAGGTAGGATTTAACTGTTGTCCCTGAAGGCAGGATTTCACTATTGTCCATGGAGGTAAGATTTCACTGTTGTCCCTGAAGGCAGGATTTCACTGTTGTTCCTGAAGGTAGGATTTCACTGTTGTTCCTGTAGGTAGGATTTCACTGTTGTTCCTGTAGGTAAGATTTCACTGTTGTCCCTGAAGGTAAGATTTCACTGTTGTTCATGAAGGTAGGATTTCACAGTTGTCCCTGAATGTAAGATTTCACTGTTGTCCCTGAAGGTAAGATTTCACTGTTGTCCATGAAGGTAAGATTTCACTGTTGTTCCTGAAGGTATGATTTCACTGTTGTTCATGAAGGTAGGATTTCACAGTTGTCCCTGAATGTAAGATTTCACTGTTGTCCCTGAAGGTAAGATTTCACTGTTGTCCCTGAAGGTAGGATTTCACTATTGTTCCTGTAGATAAGATTTCACTGTCATCTCTGAAGGTATGATTTCACTGTTGTCCATGAAGGTAAGATTTCACTGTTGTCCATGAAGGTAAGATTTCACTGTTGTCCCTGAAGGTAAGATTTCACTGTTGTCCCTGAAGGTAGGATTTCACTGTTGTTCATGAAGGTAGGATTTCACAGTTGTCCCTGAAGGTAAGATTTCACTGTTGTCCATGAATGTAGGATTTCACTGTTGTTCCTGTAGGTAAGATTTCACTGTTGTTCCTGTAGGAAAGATTTCACTGTTGTTCCTGTAGGTAAGATTTCACTGTTGTCCCTGAAGGTAAGATTTCACTGTTGTCCATGAAGGTAAGATTTCACTGTTGTCCATGAAGGTAGGATTTCACTGTTGTCCCTGAAGGTAAGATTTCACTGTTGTCCATGAAGGTAAAATTTCACTGTTGTCCATGAAGCTAGGATTTCACTGTTGTCCCTGAAGGTAAGATTTCACTGTTGTCCCTGAAGGCAGGATTTCACTGTTGTTCATGAAGGTAGGATTTCACTGTTGTTCCTGTAGGTAAGATTTCACTGTTGTCCCTGAAGGTAGGATTTCACTGTTGTTCCTGTAGGTAAGATTTCACTGTTGTTCCTGTAGGTAAGATTTCACTGTTGTTCCTGTAGGTAGGATTTCACTGTTGTCCATGAAGGTAGGATTTCACTGTTGTCCATGAAGGTAAGATTTCACTGTTGTCCATGAAGGTAGGATTTCACTGTTGTCAATGAAGGTAGGATTTCACTGTTGTCAATGAAGGTAGGATTTCACTGTTGTTCCTGTAGGTAAGATTTCACTGTTGTCCATGAAAGTAGGATTTCACTGTTGTTCCTGTAGGTAAGATTTCACTGTCGACCATTAGGGTAAAATTTCACTGTTGTTCCCGATATACACATTTATGAAAAGTGAAAGTTATAATTTATAGATGGCTGGAATGATGCAGATCAATAAGATATCTATTGAAAACATTGAATGCTTTAACATAGAGATTAGTTCTGATTTAGGATTTAAAATCCTTTCTTTTTTATCATTCCTACTGGCCTGGATCTTTATGAATAATTTTTCCGATAATGAGAAAGTTTTTAATTTGGAACTCTGTTTCCTTCCTATCTACCAATAGAATGAGAATTTATCTGTTATTTGACCTCTCCTGAGCATTGTGGATTACTCGATTGACAGGATCTCTCATTGCCCACTGATTATGGCTAAACATTGGGGACCTGTTCTGTCTCCACTCCATCACCATTCTGTGTACTGCCTATATTGAATATTTCACATTAAATTGATTGAATAACATTTCTATATATCCTACAAGGCTGTGGAATCATGTTATGGAATCAATGATTCATGTCGGGTAATAATTATTGTCAATTTATGATATTCTCGCCATAACACTTGGGAAGAGTATAATTATGCAGTAGTTTAACTACAAAGTATATATCTAGTGGATATGCTAGTGTTATAGGAGGGTAGTCGGGTGGCACAGGGGAAAAGCACTTACCCTTTACCTAGTCATCCTGGGTCACCTGCCCAATCACTCGAGTATTCCCTCGGTACTCCACTTTCTTCCCACATAAAGACCCCTCACTGACTTCCATGTGGCCTAACAATAATGATTAACAAAAAATGGAAAAAAATGTTTCACAATTGCGGTAAAATAAGGATTTATTTAAATAGGTAAGTGTAATTAAAAACACTATAGCTGTGGTGGGGTTCGAATAGTGATCCTTCAGTCTCCAGCCAAACATTTGACGATTTGACTACAGGGAAATTCCCACTAGCTGAGGCTAGTTAAGCAATTTGTACTATCGTCATCACTACTCCCTCCTTCAAAAAGTCCTTGACCCTGAAAACTACAACCAACCAGGTTCAATATGCCTACAAGGAAAGCACCTCAGTCTCCTGCAGCTTCTGTCCTTGGAGTGGTCAGCAGCGCCAAAACTGTGATAGGAAATATTAATAAAAGAATTTCAATGCACCCATTGGAATTTAAACTAGTGACTCTTTTGTCTTTAACCAGACACTGCTTAAGTAGCGGTAATTCCCTCTTGCCAAAGTTTAGTAAACTGACCAGGCTCAGGTAAACGTTAGTTAGAATCAGCCAGTGGTTATAGTTAAAATTTGAATTGTTGCCACTGAACAAAGAAAAGCATTAACATTAATATGTATCAGTTTGACCTATAACAACAAACCTACAGCTGTGAATTGATAAATTAAGTTCCTAATATTGTTTAATTCCTTCAGATGGGCCATACATACCTTACACATTCATGTATGTTGAAAGGCGGTGCTAACCCTCGGTGCGTAGGATGTGATGAGCCTTTCACCATGAAACATTTTTTTATTGGACTGCATTGACCTTCTGTCTAATCGAGAAATTTTTTATCATAACATTACAAGTGTAAAGACCTTTTTGAAACTGTTGAGGTTTAAGAAACTTCTAGGTTATGTGAAAGCTGTTGGTCGGTATTATAGACTATGACTTACCATTTTAATCTTTTGTGATAATATAACCATTTCAGATTTTTAACATTTGTCTTTTACCTTTTGGTTTGTTTAATGTTATTCCTTTTTGGATCACTGTGTGTTTTACCTGTTGATGGCCCTAATGACGTTTTATATGTTGACAGACTCTTAAGAATGTCATGATAATGATAATAATTCTAATTCATCCTTGTTCCGGGGTCTGTACCGGGTCTGTACCGGGTCTGTACCGGGATCTGTATTGGGGTCTGTACTGGGATCTGTAATGGGGTCTGTACTGGGGTCTGTACCGGGTCTGTACTGGGTCTGTACCGGGTCTGTACCGGGGCCTGTACCGGGTCTGTACCGGGTCTGTACCGGGTCTGTACTGGGTCTGTACCGGGGCCTGTACCGGGTCTGTACCGGGTCTGTACCGGGGTCTGTACCGGGTCTGTACTGGGTCTGTACCGGGGTCTGTACCGGGTCTGTACCGGGTCTGTACCGGGGCCTGTACCGGGTCTGTACCGGGTCTGTACCGGGGTCTGTACCGGGTCTGTACCGGGTCTGTACCGGGTCTGTACCGGGGTCTGTTCCGGGATCTGTATTGAGGTCTGTTCCGGGATCTGTATTGAGGTCTGTTCCGGGATCTGTATCGGGGTCTGTTCCGGGATCTGTATCGGGGTCTGTTCCGGGATCTGTACTGGGGTCTGTTCCGGGATCTGTATTGAGGTCTGTTCCGGGATCTGTATCGGGGTCTGTACCGGGATCTGTACCGGGGTCTATACAGGGTCTGTACTAGGGTTTGTTCCGGGATCTGTATTGAGGTCTGTTCCGGGATCTGTATTGAGGTCTGTACTGGGTCTGTATTGAGGTCTGTTCCGGGATCTGTACTGAGGTCTGTTCCGGGATCTGTACTGAGGTCTGTTCCGGGATCTGTATTGAGGTCTGTTCCGGGATCTGTACCGGGGTCTGTTCCGGGATCTGTATTGAGGTCTGTTCCGGGATCTGTATTGAGGTCTGTTCCGGGATCTGTATTGAGGTCTGTTCCGGGATCTGTATCGGGGTCTGTTCCGGGATCTGTATTGGGGTCTGTACTGGGTCTATACAGGGTCTGTACTGGGGTCTGTACTGGGTCTTTACTGGGATTTGTAACGGGGTCTGTACTTGGGTCTGTACCAGGGTCTATATCAGGTCTGTACCGGGGTCTGTAATGGGTCTGTACTGAGGTCTGTACTGAGGTCTGTACCGGGGTCTGTACTGGGTCTGTACTGGGGTCTGAACCGGGTCTGTACCGGTTCCTGTACTGCGTCTGTACAGTGTCTGTACAGTGTCTGTACTGGGGTCTGTACCGGGGTCTGTACTGGGGTCTGTACTTGGGTCTGTACTGGGGTCTGTACTTGGGTCTGTACTGAGGTCTGTACTGGAGTCTGTACAGGGGCTTATACAGGGGTCTGTACCGGAGTCAGATTTTACACTGGAGTGGAGTTTCGAGCAAAATTAAGATCAATACCCATACCTTAGAAAGTTAAACAGTCGGGAAATATTAAAAGCAAGGGGACATAACTCCTCTTGGTTGTCTCTTGACCTTATTTTCTATTACAAGAATTTAAGTTGTGTAACATGATTTATGATGTCATCAGCAATTTTGAGCCGGTCAGATGACAAAGATAGATCAATGGTTGACAATTTGCTTGATTCAATTAAATAATGGCAATTTTTGTTGTTGTTGTTGTTGGAGGTTTTTCGTCTCAGATTTTACACTGGAGTGGAGTTTCGAGCGCCCCATACCTTAGAAAGTTAAACAGTCGGGAAATATTAAAAGCAAGCATAACTCCTCTTGGTTGTCTCTTGACCTTATTTTCTATTACAAGAATTTAAATTGTGTAACATGATTTATGATGTCATCAGCAATTTTGAGCTGGTCAGATGACAAAGATAGATCAATGGTTGACAATTTGCTTGAATCAATTAAATAATGGCAAACATATATAGCCTTATATAGGTAATGCTTTGCAACCAGTCAGATGAAAGAATACAAAACAGATGAATTCTTCAACCAATCAGAAGATAGAATACAAAACAGATGAAGTCCTCATCTAAACAAGTGATAAGACATGAGATTTATGATATTCCTTGACCAATCATATTGAATAACACAAGAATTATGAAATTTTCTCAACCAATCAGGTGACAGAATAATGAGACAGCAGTGAGGATAATGTGAAACATAAACTACATTAAGTATAAGTTGGAACCATGCCTGTTCTTCAGACCTTGATCTGAGGTTTTGAACAGACACGATAGAACAGCCCTCTGGATAAAACAAGGACAGGAAGTAAATAGCATGATAGATTTATTAAACAGGTAAACAGTTATTAAACTAGAATAAATTTCATTATGACTAGCCTAAACACACATGATACAGTCATATTGTCCCTGTTATTGTTGGACACTGATTTTGGATTGGCATCAGGCTTGTATTTTTATGAATAAAGATGCGTGGGGTTTGGACCGTTATACTTAGGGCGATCTATGTATATCAGGAAGCTGTTAGAATAATGGAAGACCTTATGTGAGGTTATAGTGGCCAGTGTCTCCAAGAACAGACTGCTTCAGTACGACCCTGGCTCTTCATATTATGAAACTCGACAAACTAACAAACAAAGAGGCCATAACAACTTTTGTGATTGCTATTTCATTGTCCTACAATAAACAGATCTCCCTACTTTGAGTCACATCTTATATTTGACCATTCCAATTCCCAGCCCCTAGCCCCATTCTCGGGCCCTCAGCACTAAGATCCACCAGTCCTCCACCCCCAAACCCCCCAGCCCTCATCCCCCAAGCCCCTAAGCTCCCAAGCCCCCAGCCACAGCCCTCAGGTCCCCAGCCCTCAGACCTCAGGTCCCCAACCCTCAGCCCTCAGGTCCCTAGCCCTCATCCTTCAGCCCTCCAGCCCTCATTCCCCAAGCCCCTAGCCTCAGCCTCCAGCTCTCAGCCCTCAGGTCTCCAGCCCTCAGACCTCAGGTCCCCAACCCTCAACCCTCAGGTCCCCAGCCCTCAGGTCCCCAGCCACTAAGGCTTATTGTAGGAAATATATGGTACATTTTAAACAGTCACTGGTTTTAATGATACATTAGATCTGCTTGTAAGTATGCATCATTAAAAATTTTATTTGAATTTGAATCTGTGTGATCATAAGTGAAATGTTAATAAAAAATTAAATGATAAAAGATTTGAATAAATAATTTTTATTGTTTGTACAGAGAACAGTCATTATCTCTCAAGATTTGCATTGTATATTGATTTACCTGTAAAATGTTGCCTGTGATCGTTAGGTGTAACAGGTGAGCTAGTAAATGGCTATCAACATGTGTACTATAACGAGGTAGACTTATACTGGAATATCTGGTGATATTTATATATGTACATGTTCTAATGTTAGAGGATGATATTATCTATAGTATCACACAGCAGTAACAGGTGGTTTACTTATATGGTCACTAAGGTAACATATATAAACAATGTTTTTACCTTTATAACAATACTGATGTAATTTGTAGCAGAGTAAAATTTGTTTACAGATAATTAAGTGAAATAGTTATAATAAAAAAACCAATACATGTTGAAAAGTGAAACAAATTTGTGAGACTGTGGGTGGGCATTCTTCAGGTAAAAATGTTTTGGCTCGATGAAGATATGATATACAGTATGTATGTACTACTGTCTACAAGGTATCAATTGAACAGACCAGCTGTCACCAAAGCAGATTACACAGCCATTTACACCTTACCTATGTACAATAGAGAATAAGTCAACACATTTATAAAGATTTCGTCTTGTGTGAGATCACATTGTCACTTGTTGTGTGTTTTTACTTTCCTTAGAAAATCACAAATGTATTGAAAAATTACACATAAACTGATGTCAGTACAATATGTCACCCAATCGAAGAACTGATGTGATCTTACTGCAATTTTTATACTGATTTAGTTTATACCTAGCACCATCGGAAATTTTATTTGGTTTCATATAACAGGATTATCTTGTCCATTGTTAGCTAACCTGGTCCAAAGGGCCAAGTGAGCTTATGCCATAGCGCGGCGTCAATTGTTTGTCCGTCCGTCTTCGTCCGTTGTCCGTCCGTCTGGCGTCTGTCAACTTTTCATTTAAACAACTTCTTCTGAAATACCGAAAGGCATAGAGTTATCATCTTTGGCTGGAAGGTTCCTTTGATGAAGCCCAACAAAGTTTGCAAAAAGAAATGACTTTCACCCATATTCAAGGTCACAGAGGTCAAATGTGTTAAAACCTTTAAACGACTTCTTTCAAAATACCAGAAGGCCTAGAATCATTATATATGGCTGGATAGTTCCTTTGATGAAGCCCAACAAAGTTTGCGAAAAAAAAAAACCTTGACCCATATTCAAGGTCACAGAGGTCAAATGTGGTAAAAAATTTTAAGCTACTTTTTTCAAAATACTGTTCATTATAACAATTTCCTTCACCCATATTCAAGGTCACAGAGGTCAAATGTGTTAAAACGTTTAAACAATTTCTTCTGAAATATTGAAAAGCCTAGAATCATTATACTTGGCCAGTATGTTCCTTACATGAAGTCCATGAAAGTAAAAGAAATGACCTTGACCCATAGTCAAGGTCACAGGGGTCAAATGTGTTAAACGTGGAACATATGCACAGATATAGTAATGTTGGTCATAAAGATCCAGGTGAGCGATACAGGCCCTGTGGGCCTCTTGTTTCAATTTCTAGGCATAATTTTAGTTTAAACTTTCTGCACCAAACATTTCTGTTTATAACAAACAACTGCCATGGCTACAGTTGATGGTGATAATTTCGAGAGGTCCTATAATATTGTGTGAAAAAAAAAATATCTTGTAGATATAAGTTGGGTCAGAAAAGGGTCATGTCTTATAAGTAGGGTCAGAGAAGGGTGATGTCTTATAAGTTGGGTCAGAGAAGGGTCATGTCATATAAGTAAGGGTCAGAGAAGGGTCATGTCTTATAAGTGGGGTCGTAAAAGGGTGATGTCTTATAAATGGGGTCAGAGAAGGATCATGTCTTATAAGTGGGGTCAGAGAAGGGTCATGTCTTATAAGTGGGGTCAGGGAAGGGTCATGTCTTATAAGTTGGGTGAGAGACGGTTTGTGTCTTATACGTGGGGTCAGAGAAGGCTCATGTCTGATAAGTTGGGTCAGAGAAGGATCGACAAACTGTGAGGCAGAATTTGTTGATCATGTTTTTCATATCATAGTTTATATTGTTGAGTTTGTACAATTAATGAAAGACATGATTTTTAGCAGAATATTGAAAACTATCAATTGGGTATCTTATCAGTTACAGATTTTAAAAAAATATGTACTTAAAAAAGTTTTTGTTTTGGCCTGTCTGAAATGTCTTCAGGTACTGAGAATAATCCCAGTTAATTGGTAAAGAAAGGTCACATGGTCATAAAGGTCAAGGTCATTGTCAAAGTCATTGGTAAGGTCATCACAAGGTCATCACAAGGTCATAACTAGATTATCATAAAACTTGATGCTTATTCTAGATCTGCATTCTTCCACTTGACCAATACCTTGTTATACCTTTGTATCAAACTGAGGATGGGCTTATTACAGAACACTTAACATTTGCATGTGTTTCTGTTGAGAGTCAGTATGTATTTAGGTGCTTTAATTTCAAAGCATAATTGAAAAACATGGACTAGCTGTCACATGGTAATTTTATTTAAAGAAATTTAATATTTTTTAGATAAAATATTTTCCGACAGGTTCTGGTAAGAAATTTGCAGAGTAAGATATTGATTTGGTCTGTTAATCAGTAAGTTAGTCAGTTTTATAACCAGAGACTATTTATAAAATCTGCAACCAGCAGTGTAATACACAATCAAAGCTATAGAATATGATAGTGTACCAGCGTATGGAAAAATCAATAACGTCTGCGTTGATTTCAATTAAGGAAATTTGATTAAATTCCTGAAATGTTACAGTGACATTTAAGACCAGCTGTCTGTCACTATACTACATACTTTACTTGTTTATCTTGTAGATGTTTTTGTTGACAAGTCAAAATCTCAGGTAGTGATTAAGAACCTTAATTTGGCAGTCTTTGATTATAGCTTCAGTAATCACGATAATTAAAAAATAATATATAACATATTGAATTAATGTAACAAAATTTGTGTTGATTATAACACGGTAGCCCAGGGCTCTCACACCCAATTTTGGGACTGGGGTCCGGGGCCCTTAGAATTGGGAAAAATAACGACGTTTTCCTTAGAATTGGGAAAACTTGGGGTCTAGATCGAGAGCCCTGTAGCCAATCACAACGGGGAAAGAGGTACGGTTCCTGAACTTAAGAATCCCGAGAGGGTGAAACCGGTCAACAACAATAAATCTAGGAACCGTACCTCTTCACCTGTTGTGTTGGGCTTCCATATTTTAATAATGTTATCTATCCTCCAATCCCCCTGCATACTTGCGGGTATCCAGACAGAGGGAACGGTGGAAATATCATCCAACCATTACTACTTACCCGATGTTGTCTCTATCTTCTTTGAAATTTGTGTTTATGATAAAGTAAGTAATTTGATTTCTTGTATGTTTAATTTTGTTTATAAAAAAATCTTTCCTGTGAAAGTATGTGCACTAGACATCTATTTTAACATGAATGCAAAAGTTTCTGGAATAAAAAACAAAAATCTCAAATAAATATTTTGTTTCCAGGTCTATGATAAAGTAACTCTTAAGTGTAAGCAAACACAGATTTCAAAATCTTGATCTACACATGACATAGTATGTTCAGTTATTTCTGAGAAAATAAATGTTGAAAAATTATGTAGCTATATGAAGTTTTTTTTTCACTGAAAAATTAAAGCTTCTGTGAGGCCGCTATCATTGACTGTTAGGATTATCTGGTATGCAAAACTGACACAAAATGGACAGAACAGTTTATAGATGAACAACAATAACAAATAAGATAATTACTTTATATTTTAATGCAAACTGTCTGAGTGAATATCATACAAAATCAGGACAAATTGTTTAAAAACATGATAGCAACTAGCAAGACAGGAAACGAATGGTCAGACATATTGTCCTGTTTGGAATATTGAAAAATATGTAATGGTAAGTGAAAACAGTATGGACCTTAGACACATGTTTTCATAGTGAAATTTAAGGGAGATGAATGTGGAATATCTATATTAATATTACTGTAATTATCCTGTAATATGTCCATGTCTGGTAATAAGCCCACCTATATCTGATACTGTTCATTAAATCTATACTAAGAGGAAAAAGAAATGCAATTAGGAATTCCCAGGTCAACTACGGGAAATAGAAAAGGGTTTTAGAATGTAATTATGATGTAACTGGAAGATAGTTGACCACTCTGTCAGCTTCGAGAATTTCATTCGTGTACGTTAAGTAAACCTTTCTAATTTGACGTTGATTCAAGAGTACCCCACTCAAAATGAAGTGCGTTCTGGACCCATCAATATTGTGTGTGCCCCCCGTGAGCTGCAGTAACTGCACGAACTCTTTTGTGCATTGCATTGATCAGGGTATTAACCCTCCTCATTGGTATACGATTCCATTCCTCATCCAGCGCCAATGCCAACTGAGCGACGTTAATTGGAGGATTCGGCCTACGTCTTATCCTTCTGTCCAACTCGTCCCATAAATGTTCTATTGGGGAGAGGTCAGGGCTGTATGGGGGCCAGTCTAGGGTGCGGACATTGTTTGTTGCAAGATAAAAACGGCAAAACCTCGCTACATGCGGCCAGATGTTGTCCTGCTGAAACGTTTGTTGACGCTGCTGTACTAGAGGAACAACATGTGGCGCTAGGACTTGATCTCTATAGCGGACAGCTGTGAGATTTCCCTGAATAACGACCAGAGGAGTCTTGATACCATGCGCAATCCCTCCCCATACCACGACCGATCCTCCTCCAAAGCGGTCATTCTCTATCACATAAGCATCTGCATAGCGCTCGTGGGTACATCTATAGACACGACGTTGGCCTCCTGCCCGGTAAAGCCAAAACCTGAATTCATCTAAAAACAAGACCCTTCTCCAACGTTGCATTGGGAAGCATTTTACGGAATATGCATTCAGCCATTTCATTCTTCTGGCACATCGCTGCGCATTAAGCTGTGGTCCAACATATGGCTGCCACGCACTGTCTTTGGATCAGTTGGAACATGATGACACCCAATTGGGTGCATTTTTTTTTCCATGGCTGTCAGAAAACGATTGCGTAGGTGCAAAAGTCGCATTGCCCTATCCTGCCGACGCGTCGTCACACGAGGGCGACTGCTTTGGGGATGGTCTGCAACCCTTTCGGTGGCATGTAGTACTTGGATGAGATGGCAGCTGTTCGATGGGTGGACTCCAAATTGATAAGCAACCTGATTTTGCGGAGTACCTTGCATAAGAAGTGCAATGGCACAACCCCTGTCAAATTCAGACAGTCGTGGCATTTTTTACGGTGAACTGTTCATACTTAAAATGTGGGAAATCAAGACGGATATGTCTGAAGATTCACACACACAGATTTTGAACCAATCATTTATACTGGGTTCAAAATATCGTGCTCTTGTCTCTTATTCTTTTGTACAAGCGAGGTGCGCAGTTTTGTTATGCATCAGTGATTTTAATACGGTACCATAGGGACCTAACTCAAATGCACACATTTGTCAAGTTTCAAGGGTGTGCGTCAAGGATGTAATTTACAATATTAACTTTCTGCTAATTGCGTTTCTTTTTCCTCTCAGTATATTTCATAATTCAGTAATAAGACCACCCCTTGACTTTGAATTATCAGGCATACAACAATGTCGTTCACACACTATTTTCCCCCATGAGAATTTAGAATGTTGGCGAGTATGTATTAAGGGGTATTGTGTTGGTCCTATGGGCTAATGATAGGGTATACACATCTTAAAATAATGAAGATATTTCCTTCCATTACTATAGTGGTATTGTATTATAAATTTCCTGTATATAATAAATGAGAGAGTTTACCTGTATGTCACAGCTATATTAATCAGGATCACAGTGTGACAATTGCCAGGAGGGGTCCGACAGCTGGTACTGTTTCTAATTATAGATATTCACATGTTTCACAAATCTTAACATTTCCATGATGTGGATTATTGGTGTTAATTAGGTAAGTGAATTATAATTTTTAAGCTAATATTAGAAACATATGTAAAATGTGGGAGATATGTTTAATACAAAAAGGATAAAAAAGTAAACAAAATGGGATTCTACAGTGATGTATTCAGCGAATTCTACAGCTGTAGGTGAATTTTGTAGCCTGCTGACAATTGCTTGTTGTTTAATCTGTTGGCATACCAGGTAAATTATATGTAAGAGAGTTTTCATGTTTTCTTATCTTGATTTTGAAGACAGCCGTTAAGATTTCATCAACATTTACAAAAGTTAATTGTTAGAAGAGGAAAATATTGATGAAATATTTAAGCAAACTGAAATGTGATTTGTTCGTTTTGTCAAAAATATATATGGTATACAGTGATTCTTTGTTCACATGAAACAGAAGGAACAATGTTACATGATTCAAGTCAAATTCATTCTATGAGAATTCCCAGATGACAAACATTTGTATTGACAGACTTAATGGGAATTCCCCAAACAGATTTTTCAAAGTATGAGATAAGACCACAGATATTATAGACCATAATGATCATTGAATATTTGCTGGGTTTGAAGAAATTCACACACTTATGCTAACAAGATAAAGGCTCTCTGTATGTATGTATGCATGCAGATTTCTGTAAGAAGCATAGGATTCAGAATATTTCACCCTCTGACATAGTTGTTCTCAAGAATGAAGCACTTAAGAACAAAAAAAATTGAAAAGAATGCAAAGGAAATTAATATTTCCATTAGTTAAGTGGAGAAAACTAAGGGGACACAACTACACTGTTTCTGATTATTCAGATCAGTGACAATATATCATGTATCCCATCTGGTTGACCCAGATTTCCCTATAATCTGTGTAAATCTTCACACGAGATGAAAAAATCTCCCATCAGAGTTGTATGACTGATTGATACTACATAAAATTGATGAGATCTTATGTTATTGTGGGGTTTTTATGTACATATTACGAGCTTGCTTCATAAGACAGCATTACTATATGATGGTTCAATGTATTGGTATTATCTTTGTCTGGTAACCAAATTTTTATCTAAAACATCTCCAGACACACGTACTCATAAACAAATAGCTTCAAAACTTACATTTTAATTTTAATGTAATTAATTAATTAAATTTTTTGTTTTCATCACTGCTAAAGCTTCAGACAGCTGTTCTACAGGTTGATCAGAAATATCAGGGAAAACAATATTTACTTTCAAATCTGATTATAATGTTAAAGATTGTGATATCAAGTTTTATTATAGCTAAAGAGTTAAACAAGATCTTCAACTCAGACTTGTAGGTTAAATGCCAAATGGTAAAGTCAGAAATTTACAATTAGAGTGAAGAACATTATTTCGAAGGTCACAGATTGTATATATATATATATATGTTTAACTACTTATGATGAACTGAGCTGGTATACACTAAACACTATGTCATAAACATCAGGACAGAATTTATACATTGTCATTTTATCAGCATTTCTTTTTTTAGGAACTTTCTCCATGCCATCTGGTTCAAGTTGCTCTCCATTCACTTTTGGACTCTGTGGATAAGGATTTAAACCTTCACTAACACATGAAATGGGATACAAAATTTACAAGCTTTTCTTTCACATCCAAGGATTTAGTTCTTAAGCAGTTATTGTGATAGATATTGTTTTCTTCAAAGTTTACTAAAGATTCAACATTATTGGCTAGCAGATCAGGGAAGTGTGAATTATGGATGGATAAACTGAATTCTAGGGATTATGTGGAATTTTACGTAACCTACATATTAAGTAATATAGAGACTTATTCTTGAAAGATTCTTTTCAAACTTCACGATGTTGACGGACAAAGGGATTGCACGGAAGATGAATCTAGAGCACCTGAGTGCAGCGGAGTGTGAGAAAATTTTGCAAGTGCTCCAAAAAGATTTTGAATTACGACAGAAGGAGAAAACCAGACTTGAGTAAGTAACTTCATTTTTCTTAATATCTTCATGTTTAAACATATATAAGTATGAGCAAGGTTACTTTAGTGTTAAATCAGAATCTACAACCCGGGCTTATTTGTGTTTCTCAGGAAGGTTCAATACCTATCTCAGGATCAGACATAATATTACAGGGCAAAAACCAAGTGGGGTATACAATAACTTTCTCTAAAAAGTGAGGGGGGGTGGGGGGGCTTATTAAAGGAAAATAAGTCAAGGGGCAAATACAATAGCTCCATTATAAAAAGACTTATAACAAGACAATAAGCCTAGAGTACCATTATATTAGCTCTGTCTCAGGTAGATGGGCTTAATATTACAGGACACAAAACCTAAAGGACCATTATATTAGCTCTGTCTCAGGTTATGGTGGGCTTAATATTACAGGACACTAAACCTAAAGGACCATTATATTAGCTCTGTCTCAGGACAGGGTGGGCTTGATATTACAGGACAATAAGTCTAGAGGACCAATATATTAGCTCTGTCTCAGGACAGGGTGAGCTTAATATTACAGGACGATAAACCGAGAGGACCAATATATTAGGTCTATCTCAGGACAGGGTGGGCTTGATATTACAGGACAATAAGCCTAGAGGACCAATATATTAGGTCTATCTCAGGACAGGGTGGGCTTGATATTACAGGACAATAAGCCTAGAGGACCAATATATTAGGTCTATCTCAGGACAGGGTGGGCTTGATATTACAGGACAATAAGCCTAGAGGACCAATATATTAGGTCTATCTCAGGACAGGGTGGGCTTGATATTACAGGACAATAAGCCTAGAGGACCAATATATTAGGTCTATCTCAGGACAGGGTGGGCTTAATATTACAGGACAGATAATTAGCTCTGTCTCACCTAGAGGACCAATATATTAGCTCTGTAAGCTCAATATATTAGGACAGGGGGTGGGCTTGATATTACAGGACAATAAGCCTAGAGGACCAATATATTAGCTCTGTCTCAGGACAGGGTGGGCTTGATATTACAGGATGATAAACCGAGAGGACCAATATATTAGCTCTGTCTCAGGACAGGGTGGGCTTAATATTACAGGACAATAAGCCTAGAGGACCAAAATATATTAGGTCTATCTCAGGACAGGGTGGGCTTAATATTACAGGACAATAAGCCTAGAGGACCAATATATTAGCACTTTATCAGGACAGGGTGGGCTTAATATTACAGGACAATAAGCCTAGAGGACCAATATATTAGGTCTATCTCAGGACAGGGTGGGCTTAATATTACAGGACAATAAGCCTAGAGGACCAATATATTAGCTCTGTCTCAGGACAGGGTGGGCTTAATATTACAGGACAATAAGCCTAGAGGACCAATATATTAGCTCTGTCTCAGGACAGGGTGGGCTTAATATTACAGGACAATAAGCCTAGAGGACCAATATATTAGGTCTATCTCAGGACAGGGTGGGCTTAATATTACAGGACAATAAGCCTAGAGGACCAATATATTAGGTCTATCTCAGGACAGGGTGGGCTTACCAATAAGCCTATATTTAGCTCTGTCTCAGGACAGGGTGGGCATAATATTACAGGACAATAAGCCTAGAGGACCAGTATACTAGGTCTATCTCAGGACAGGGTGGGCTTAATATTACAGGACAATAAGCCAAGTAGACATATGTATTAGCGCTGTCTCTGAGAAGTATTTATCATAACATAGCACAGCAATAAGCACATAGGTGCCATTAATCAAGTGGTTTTAGTGGTGGTGAGAGTAAACAATAGTGTTTATGGTATAGTGTATAAAGAAACTATTTATGTAAAATGGGAGACCTACGATTACCTAACATTAAAACATGACATTATAAATGAGAAAATTGATAAAAACGAATAAAGGTGAAATAAGCCTTAACTGTGACCCTTGCTTGCTCTTATGGAACTGAAGTACAATTAATGAAATGTATCATTATTGTTTAGAAAAATTGAAGAGGATTTGAAAGAAGAAGACACAAAAACTGAGGTTCTGGCCAAGAAAACAAAACTCAATGAGAATGTTTGTATCCGATGTTGTCAGGCATTTGGTCTCATTTTCAACCGTAAACAAACATGCAGTCAATGCCACCTGTACATCTGTAAATCGTGCTGTTCCCGCGATCTTGAGAAGGGTGGATTTGTTTGCAATGTCTGTGTCAGGGAGCAGTAAGTACCAAGGCATTTATTTCAGACCACACATTATTTTCAGATAGTCTACACATATAATATTTTCCTGGTTATAAACAGCAGCTTTTTTCCTTGGCGGTTTGGATGTGCGGATTATATACTGGTGCGGCTTACGAGTGGAGGAAGCAAAAAATTAGCCGAATGAAAAATAAATGAAGACTATTGTCTGGACATCGAGTCCAGACCATTATATATGTCAGAACAACCGTTTCGTGGAGGAGTATCATGTGCACTATTGACCTCTCACCCTGATAATTTTGGTTGCTGTAACATGTCACGCTTCAAGGAAGAATACAAAATTGTGAATTAAACCAAGGATAACAGTACACCAGAACAAGATGTCGGTACCAAGTTTTTATGGCCACCTGAGACAAAGTCTCATGGTGACCTATTGCAATCGCCTTCATCTGACTTCATGCGTCATACGTCTTGTGTCTGTAAACATTTTAACATTTTCTACTCCTTCTCTAAACCACTGATCCAATATCATTGAAATTTTGCAGAAACCTTTCTTGGCCAAAGATGAACCGAAAATGTGAATTATACAGTCCCCACTCCACAGGGGCCTGAAATGTGGGGCCAAAAGTGGTTGAATTGACTCAGATTTCAAAAATCTTCTTCTCAACACCCAGATATTGTAGAATCAAATGCTCTGTATGAATGTAAGCATCTTAAGGTGTTTTAACTACCAAAATGAGGGTTCCCAGGGAGGAGGATTTTAGACTTTACTGTAATTTTTTTATAGAAAAATTGCATTTTTGAGCATGACATTGGTTATTTCCTACTGGAAATAACTTTGTAAAAATTATCAATATGGAATAACAGTTTAGATGATATGTATGTATTGACACTAGGTTATTATGTTTAGTGTCACAATTTGTTTCATGACACTTGATAACAACCCTTTAACCTTTATATTCCATATTGCTTATCTCAGGTGACCGTCAAAGTCACTAGATCTCTTGTTACAAGTACCTGTCCATCACGTGTTTGCCACTGAAACAGATCGTCTGGTAACCATGTAAAGGATGATTATAAATTGTTTCTAAATGAAAATTAACATTATCATGGGTTTAATTAATCATACCTTTTAATGTGAATCACAATTTTATCTTGTGAACTTTTGAGGTTGCTTCGGAAGCCATAGCAGAAGTTTACAATAGCCTGTTGAATCCTGGGATCAATAGGTCATCAGGTCAAATTCTAAAATGACCGCAACGCTTGTTTTTAAGATAAGAATGACTTTCTGTAACTTACCAGAAATAATATGGGTCTATAAGTATTTTGTCAGCATGCAAGGGCCTTCTCCATTATGTATCAGTACAGACACAGATGGAGATATTGTTCAGTAAACAGTACGTAATGTCAGGCCCTATATCTGTGTATAGACAATCTTTGAAGGCTCCCAAGCCAAACAAGTTCGATAGTTGCTATTTTACATTTTTCCAACACATCAATAAAATGCCCATGTATAATTCATTTGCAAACTTGTATTAAATATTTTACTGATGATCTTGATAAATTGCGCTGTCTGTTATATCAATGAAGTGTTACCATATCGTAAAAATTTGTGTGCGGCTTACATCCCAGTGTGTCTTATATGTGGATCAAATAAAAAAAATTGCCGAAATCCAACCCTCCGGCTTATACTCAGGTGCAGTTTATAACCTGGAAAATATAATGCTTGCACAAAGTCATTGGTTTGGGAAAAAGTTATCTACAGACTTTTCAGTTGACTGAGTACTGAAAATGTTTTCAAAATGCTGTCTTGAAATGAACATGTCAAAATACTGACTTTTTTTTTCTTTTTTTATAATGTCAAAGAATTTACACATTTGGAAATGATTCAGAATCCACGAATGATGGGAAAATATTTTCAATTTGAAAAAAATTCGAAAGAAAAGAAACTAACAAGAATATTTTATAAAAGTGTTCTTTTTGAGAATTTTAACTCTTTAATTAACTGTGTACACTGTTGATGGACTAAAAAGTATTATGATAAAAACTCAGGTTTGAAAATGTTTGTAAATGGTTTAACAGACTTTTAAAATGACAGTGCTTGTCTTTTGTGTAATATGTTGATTATCTTTGTACTATATTTGTTGTATTGTCTATTTAACAGTGAACTGAAGCTGAAATCATGTGACTGGTTCTACAATAATGTGAGCAGGCGGTTTAAACGTTTTGGCAGTGCTAAGGTCGTACGGACATTATACAAACAGAGAGGAGATTGTAAGTCGCGTCAATTTCACTGTAAGTTTTTATTTCAGTCATTGGCATGTATCCAGTATACTCCTGCATGGAATATGCCGACATCTTGTGATGTCATGTGACCTTCAGTTAACAAGTGACCCTGTGCTACCAACTGATACTAATTATAGAAATTCCATCCAGGTAACCGTCATCAGTTTATATATGGAGTAGCAGATCCAGACTTTTTTAGCAACATATCCCCTTTCCTTTATGTTTATTTTAAATGCGTTGTAAGCATGTTTTTTATTGTTTTGATGTTTGAAATTCAAGGTCAACAGTTGATTTTGAATGTCCCTACAGGATGAAAGTCTCTGGATCTGCCACATAAGTGCTATTTAGCTCTTACACTAATTATTAGCTCTGCAAAGTATATGTCATGATTTAATTTGTTTTGTATCACTATAAAGCAGTCTGCTAGCATGGCTTGTTGCCTTAAACATGTCACTTATCTCTCTTGTCTTCATATATAGAAGGTTAGTAATGTCCCTTATATTGATGCAGAGGTCTACTACTGGCCAGTTTTGTTGATATAACATGAGTTATCTCCCCTAGCTTGATGTAAAGATCTGCTGACCTGTTTTGAAATATATCACATCAATTATCTCCCCTGTCTTAATGTATAGACCATGATTTATCTCCCTTATCTTGATGTAGAGATCTGCTGAACTGTTTTGTTGATAGAACACAAGTTGTCTCCCTTACCCTGATGTAGAGATCTGCTGACCTGTTTTGTCGATATAACACGAGATGCCTCCCTTACGCTGATGTAGAGGTCTGCTAACCTGTTTTGTCGATATAAAATGAGTTGTCTCCCTTACACTGATACAGAGGTCTGCTGACCTGTTTTATTGATAGAATGTGAGTTATCTCCCCTAGCTTGATGTAGATGTCTGCTGACCTGTATTTATATATAGCGCATCAGTTATCTCCCTTGTCTTGTTGGAGAGGTCTACTGATCTGTTTTGTGGATAGAACATGAGTTATGTCCTTACCTGGACATAGATGTCTACACACCAATCTTGTTTATAGATCTTGGGTTATCTCCCTTACCTGAATGTAGACATTCGTTACCAGAATTTATTTAATAGATTTGTTTCATATGTTGACAATTCTCCTTTCTGCAGACATTTAACCCCCTATGTTCCCTTAACCTGTGTAGTGAAATACATTTATCTTTATAAAGTTTCCTAATATACAATTTCATTAATACAAATACTGGTACATGCTTCATTCATATACAGCTGACCTATTAATATATATAGCTGACCTATTTATATATACAGCTGACCTATTAATATATACAGCTGACCTGTCTATATATACAGCTGACCTTTTATATATACAGCTGACTTATTGATATATACAGGTGGCCTATTTATATATACAGGTGACCTATTTATATACATCTTACCTATTTATATATATACAGTTGACATTTTATATATACAGCTGACCTATTTATATATACAGCTGACCTATATATAACTATATATACAACTGACTTTATATATATACAGCTGACTTTATATATATACAGCTGACTTTTTAGGTCATCTGACCCAAAGGGTCAAGATGACCTATAGCCATCGTGCTTCGTCCGTCGTCGTGCGCCGTCCGCCGTGCGTAAACTTTTCATTCAAACAACTTCTTCTCAAATACTAGAAGGTCTAGGGGGCTAATACTTGGCACAGAGGATACTGGCATGGAACTCTACCAAGTTTGTTCAAATGAATGACCTTGACCCACTTTAAAGGTCACAGGGGTCAAATATGTTAAAATCTTTAAACAACTTCTTCTCATTAACCAAAAGGCTCAGAGTGTAGATATTGGGCCTGTGACATGCTGGGATGAAATGCTACCAAGTTTGTTCAAGTGAATGACCTTGACCCACGTTCAAGGTCACAGGGGCCAAATAGGTTAAAATCTTTAAATATCTTCTCCTCAAATACTAGAAGGCCTAGGGGGCTAATACTTGGCCCATAGCATGCTGGCATGGAGCCCTACAAAGTTTGTTCAAATGAATGACCTTGGCCCACTTTCAAGGTCACAGGGGTCAAATATGTTAAAATATACAAAGGACTTCATCTCAATAAGCAAAAGTCTATGAGTGCCGATATTGGGTCTGTAGCATGCTGGGAGGAAAGGCTACCAAGTTTATTCAAATGAATGACCTCGACCCACTTTCAAGGTCACAGGGGTAAAATATGTTAAAATATACAAACGACCTCAACCCACTTTCAAGGTCACAGGGGTCAAATATATGTTAATATATATATATACAAATATATATATACTTCTTATATATATACAACTACAACATAGCAAAATATACAGCTGACTTTATATATATATACAGCTGTCCATGAGTGCTGATATATATACAGCTGTGACTTTATATATATGTACAGCTGGGCCTGTATATATAGATATATATACAGCTTTTATATATATGGAGAGGCTATATATATATAAGTTTGTATATATACAATATATACAGAATATATACAACTGACTTTATATATATGTACAGACCTCATATATATACCACTTATATAGGTATATACAACTGCTTTATATATATACAGCTTTATATATATACAGCTGACTTTATATATATATACAGCTGACTTTATATATGTACAGCTGACTTTATATATATATACAACTGACTTTATATAGGTATACAGCTGACTTTATATATATATACAGCTGATTTTTCATATATACAGCTGACTTTATATATGTACAGCTGACTTTATATATATATATACAGCTGACTTTATATATATATACAGCTGACTATATATATATATATACAACTGACTATATATATACTTTATATATATATACAGCTGACTTTATATATATACAGCTGATATATATATATACAGCTGACTTTATATATATACAGCTGATTTTATATATATATACAGCTGACTTTATATATATATATACAGCTGACTTATATATATATATACAGCTGACTTTATATATATATACAGCTGACTTTATATATATACAGCTATTTATATATATACAGCTGACTTTATATATATACAGCTGACTTTATATATGTATATATATATATATATACAGCTGAATTTTATATATACAGCTATATATATATATATATATATACAGCTGACTTTTATATATACAGCTGACTTTATATATATATATATACAGCTGAATTATACAGCTGACAGCTGACTTTATATATATATATATACAGCTATTTTCATATATACAGCTGACTTTATATATATATACAGCTGACCTATATATATATATATACAGCTGACTTTATATATATATATACAGCTGAATTTTCATATATACAGCTGACTTTATATATGTATACAGCTGACTTTATATATATATATATACAGCTGATTTTTCATATATACAGCTGACTTTATATATGTATACAGCTGACTTTATATATATGTAGATTTAGTTTTTTCATTGTTTATTCTCAAACATTTTGTAAATATCAGAATAAGAGGTTGAAACAAAAGCTATAAAAAAGTGCTGATTTCTATCCTGTGTAAAAAAGTGTTTCTCTTCAGACAAATTAATCATTAAACAGGAAATTACTATAGGCAATGTAACAAATTGGGATTTCTACAACAGATTGGTTTCCATAGCAACTGTTTTGCTCCCATGGTTAAATTGTTTTTTTTCCAATATTACGCAATTATGTAAAATGTGTACATTCAGCTCAATTTCACCGACACAATGATTATAGATATTGTGGGTATACAGTCTGAATGCTGTGATAGGTAGTATGATCTGCTATAAAGCCAACAGATTGTAAAAATCTGGACTGACAGCATTGGTCCAGATTAACAGATTGTTGACTTGATGGTCCTTCCCTTGTCTCAAACATCCATCATCAAGTCGTTACTGATAAAAACTCGATATAGATTAAGAACTTATTGGTAAAGTTATATTTGTGAGCATCAGTTCTTGAGCAAGTTATTACTAAATACATGTATCTGATAAATTCTGCATACAAGCTCAGTCAATTTTAGCCTTATATATAGGCTGTAAAAAAACTTATTTTCTTGCTTTCTGTGTTGAAAATATTGAATATCTCAAATAAATTCATTTCTTGTTTCTGTATCAATTAAATTGAAATATGAATAATTTCATCTTCTAGATTATGCTACCAGAATTCATTTTAGAAACAATGCTGATGAAAAATGTGAATTTTTCTAGATTTTCAAATACATTGTTTACCGATATTTTATTAATGAAGCTAACAATTTATTAAACTAAAACACAAGATCAGCTTAATAATGTAATATGGCAAAATATAAATGTCCTTATAAGATGTTACCAAGTCAGCTCTATGCATATGATGGTATGTATGACACCAGAACTGACTGAAGTCTTAAGTATCATATACAGTACGTAGGGTTGGGTTAATCACCGCTGAATATTAGTCATAAAAAAACTAACATTCTCAGTTTTTTTTTAAATCAGCTCAACCATTCATATTAGGTCATGTGATACTAAATAGTTTTACCTGCTTGCCCATCACAAATCAAGTTTATTTAAGATCAGCTAGTATTTACCCAATAATAATGCCATGTAATATTCAGCAATGATTTGTAAGACACTTTCTCAACTTAGAAAATAGGTATATATAATATAAGTATATGTGTTATCACATTGAACATTTGCCACCAAAAAATACCTCAAACTTTATTTTAGGTATGGAGAGTAAGTAGTTTAAATCAACGAAATTTTATCTTGACCTTGTTTTTTTGTTTGTGTTTGGCCATCAGATCTTTAAATACCAGATATCTACCTATATATGTATGTGGTAGAAAGATCAGGCAAAATTTTATCTTTAGCAATGCTAACCTGTATTACACCTGCCACAAGGGGGCGCTTGTAATGTCATTTATCATGCTCACATTGACAAAAACAAACACACTTTATCTGTGATATTGACTTGAAATTGAACAACAGTAGCACCACATATTCCCTTTAGTTCAAACACCTGCCAATTAAAACTGACGTTTATACAGCTGTTTTGATTTACAATGTCTTTTTCGTCTTGATTTATGACGTCTGTTTCGCCAACTGCAATGGAAAACTAATGCCAAATTTTTTTTGTGATACAAGGTAGATGTATGTGGCCTTGTAGCTCCTGAATGAACTTTTTAAAACACGGATTTATATTTTAGTGTGTACTATATTTACATACAGTGCATTTAAATCTACAACAAAGGCTTGTTTAACTAGTTCAACAGTGAATTTTAATCCTTTGGAATTTCACTGCTTACATTTTTGCTGTTTCTTGATATTCCAATAGTGTGCATTCAGGCTTAAGTGGATTAAAACATTCTTACACGGAAATCATATGAAAGATTTTAGGTTGATAACAAATCAGTTGGTGAAAAGTCGGGTTTTACTTTTGAGATTTGTGAAACGTTGAAATTCAGCTGTAGACTGTATAAGGCTTGTGTCTCTGCAGTGTAGGAGGCTTAATGGATGGACATTTAAATGTATGGATAAAGAGATATATCAGAGAGTGAAGGAATTTGTGCAAAATGTTGTCCTTACATTCTGTGATACTTCAATCATTTTTTTCTAAACCTTTCTTAATCAGGTCTTTCGTACTAGTAATAGGGTCAGTTAAATAAACATTTAACAATATTTCTACTCCAGTTTCATAAATACAATAGATCTATTTATGCAATTCTTATCTGTTTTATCAAAATGGATAAATATCTTATATTATTACTAATTCTTTTCTAGTCAAAATGAAAACCAAAAATTGTTTCTTGATAAAACTTCACAATTGATCACTACTTCTGAAATCCAATGTCAGTGTCAGACTGTCTTGAGGTGAAATTACCATTACACTGATTTTAATTCCCTTTGTATTTGAAATGTATGCACCTGTCAATCCACAACTGATTAAAGCTTAGATTCATTCATGCATAAATGTGAGAAATAATTAATGAAGTCATGGATGACTAGTTTAGTTTATAGTCAGATTCACTTGAGTGTTTGAATTCTAGAGCTTGTAGTATTTCTTGTTCTAGAATTTAAGTGATGGAGACAGGAATCTATCAGGATCATCATTCCATAATTTCTGTATCTCATTTTGACTGATGCGGGATATAAGGTTGAAACTACCAGGAGTCTCCGTAGAATGGATTATTCAAGGCTGTATACAAATTGTTATAAAAAGCAGAAAAATTTTGTGGTGGTCTGCTTCAGTAGAAAAGATTCTGGTACTTGTGTAAATACAGGGAGAAAATTGGAACATTGGACATATTTATGTAATCTGATTTTGTCTTTCGATGGAATGCTTGATATATAGAAAGTTGCTAATTCAAGGTCAGTGAAGGAAGTTATTTGGGATTAAAGCTGTGATATTCTGTTCAAGCATCCGCCATTGGAACCAATATTAAGGATTCCAAAAATTGGTGCTGTTATGAAGCTATAGAAGTCATATTTTGTGATGCAGTTTGTCAGGGATGAAGGTGTTTATAACGTCAACTTAGACCTGTTAACACATAAACAAAATTTATGACATGTCGACTACAGAATTTTTCCTTCGGTTTGAAGATATCTTACAGGAAATTGATTATCATTGTAAGTATTTTTTCTTCAACAATCATTTGTATATTTTTATAGCAAGCATAGCTGGAGTGGCCCTATACGGGCCACTTGTAAAGCAAGCCCTAAAGACAACATATGCGCAGAAAAACATGAAAAATTTCACTTATACTATTATTCATGAAGTCGTGACACAGAAGTGGAATGCTTTGTACCAATGGCGGATATCAAAATGATGGACATAGCGACAAATAGTCTTGCTCACCAAGACGCTGCATCACATAGGCAGACAATAAAAGTTTTGCTGACCGAGACTGTGTGATTAGAACCTAACCTGACAAACATACAGAGATTGTCTGGAAGGATAAACTAGGAAAAACAAAACACTATGAACTAGATAGGAACACAATAAATACAACATTCAGGGAACGAAGAGTTCTTTAAGCTTTAGGTTAAATAAATACTGCTGCCAAATATTTTGTCATGTTAGTTTACCATTGTGAAATAAAACAGTGAAAATACTATGCTTTTTCCAAATGGCTTTGCCATAACTCTTATTATGAAGTTCAAATACAGTTGTTACACAAAAGCTTAGGAATAGTGTTTTTGCCTTATTTTTGTGTCTGATTGTACTTTTGATTTTTGTTCACAGCTGATAATGAGAGTGACAGTGGTTATGACCCGTCTGTCTACTCCTCCTTTAAAAGTGCTTCCCTCCAGTCTGTGGTGCGACAGCGACCTTCCCTAACTAATGTGTTCCCAGACAGAAGGAGAGATGACAACGATAATAATCATGGTAAGTCTGTGTTTTTCTTTTGCTTGTGATCATGGTCAGTATGATGTTTGATTTCATGATCATGGTCAGTCAGATGCTTGGTTTTATTATCATAGTCTGTCAAATGCTTGATTTTGTGATCATGGTCAGTTGGTGCTTGATTATGAGATCAAAACTTTGAAAAGTACATGCTTTGAAAATGAAATGATATCATGATTATAATAAAAAAGACTCTATTTCCTGAATTTCATCAAAAATGTATCTCTTTCAATAAAGCTTTTGGCGAAACTACAAGAAAAAAAAACCCAAACTTTTCAGTATATGGAAGGAGCAATGGTGAATTTCGAAATGTCTTTCTGTTGATTCATTTTGGATTAAATCATGATATGGTAGCTGATATCTACTAGCAGGTCTTTACCTCAAGTGTCAGTGTTTATATTTATAATTTCATATCCATTTTAATTTTCCTTAAAATATGCATTTAATCTTATTCTAGAATTCATATATAACCCTTTTCGAGATAATATCATTATTATAAACATTTACTGAACTTAGTCCTCATATTTGTAGTCAAAGGGAGATAATTCATACAATTTTTATTTTAACAAAAGCAAATATAGCAATTTAAGTATCAATTAGTAAGTAAAATAGAAGAGAAAAAATATCAGGTGGGATATATTTTTTTTTATTCCAAATCATCAAATCTCAAAAAAAAAAAAAATGAGATTTTCAGTAATATTGAAAATAATTTTGAATCTTGTATCAAATCTCTACATTTGAAGCGATATTTCAGTATCTTCAATATTTCCTTGTTTGTATTTAATCATGGTATGAAGACTTAACAAACTCTCAGATTTAGAGTGATTCCATAGAACTATCATGCTGTTTTATGTCAGGCTGTTACTTTACCAGCTGAGGGTATGCTCAATTTTTTAAAAAATTTTTAGTCATCGTGTATATAGATTTAACAAAAGTTCAGATTTAGAACAGTTTCACAAATTGTTTTAGAACCGATATGCTGTTTTGTGCTTGGCTATTATTTCACCAACAGAGAATGTCCAAATTTTTGTACATAATTGGATTATTTGCTGTTTATTAATAAAGAATTCATTAAACAACCTACCTACCATATTTTTTGGATTATAAGCTACAGTTTTTTCCTTGAGGTGTGCAGCTTATATACTGGTGCTGCATATATGTGGAATGGAAAATGAAACAATAATGAAGCATTTGAGTACACCAGTATGAGATAGTACCAAGTACCAAGTATCTCTTGTTACAAGTACCTGTCCATCACGTGTGACAGAAACAGATCGTCTGGAACCATCATTTGCAATGGTATACAGAATGATTTTAAGATTGAAATGAAAATAACATTCTTGTGATTTAAATTAATCAAACCTTTTAATAACAAATCACAATAATATCTTCTTAACTTTCATGGTTGTTTGTAAAGCTGTATTGAAAGTTTACAATAGCCTGTTGCATCCTGGGATCAATAGGTCATTGGGTTATAGGTCAAATTCTAAAATGACCGCCATGCTTGTTTACGATAGGAATGGTTTTGTGTAACTTACCAGAAATAATAGGGGACTATAAGTATTTTGTCAGCATGTAAGGGCCTTCTTTATATCTAACAGTACAGACACTAATGGAGATATTGTTAAGTTAACGGTCCATCAGACCCTATATCTGTGCATAGACAATCTTTGAGGGCTCCCAAGCCAAAGCAGTTCACTAATTGCTATTTTTACGTTTTTTGAAACACATCAATAAAATAAAGGAATATCTGTGTATAATTCATTTGCAAAATGCTTTTCTGACAATCTTGATAAGTTGCCTTCCTTTGTCTGCTGTATCAACAAACATAACAATTACCACATCGTTAGAATTTGGGTGCGGCTTATATTCTGATGCAACTAATGTGCGAATCAAATCGAAGAAATCGTTAAGAATTGGCTCTGCGAGTTATAACCCAGAAAATAGGTAATTAATTCAGTGTAATTTATCTCGTTTAGAGACAGACGGTAATCAATATATATTTATGGATAAAGACAATTTTAAGCTCATGTTGTTATGTGACAATTAAAATGTTGGATGCTGTCTGAAGTGTAGAATTACTGTAATATCTGTTGCTCTATCTTACTATATTATATAGTAGGACAAAACTGGTTGACCAATAGATGACCTGGTCTCTTCGCTTGCTGTGATTGACTTAATTATATTACTTATCCTTCAATTACTTTACACCTTCGGGCATCCAGAGGAGGGACCTAGAAACCAAGAATCCAGCCCTCAGACAAACACCTGGTCTTGGTTCTGTTCCCTCTCTCTTATTGTATAATGGTGATGTTTAATGATGCATTTATGTCATAATGTCTGGGAGAAGGTGAGGGTGAGGGTTCCGGGCTGAGAGGGGGGATGCAATTCACTTTAAATTTAAATTTAAATGGAACTTTGATTTATCTCTTTACGAGTTTGCACAGGAAAATATGACATAAAGTTTTATGGTGTCATTATCTAAAGTGGATTAAGGAGAGGGGGAGGGGTGGGGTGGGGAGGGAGGGGGTAAAATTCATATTGATAATAAAAAGATAAAGTTATCAATATATACATTTTATTTAAATGTAGAGTACAGACTGAGGTATATTGAGATATTTATCTATGGACTCGTCCCATTCAATAAGGTTTCTGCCTCACTGACGACACAACTGAAGTGTGTGGGGGTTACAAGTCACTCACAGGTACATGTAAGGTAGTATTTCACTGGGACTCGTACTGTATCGTAAAGACCTGTTGACAATAAAAATTGTTTATATCCTAATTAACACGTCAGATTGATTGATAATTAATTGGTATTTCTATCATTCTCTGTATTTTTACGTGATCTTCTGATTTAAATGACATTTTTACACATGAAATTATTATCTGTATCCTTAAAAAAAAGGAGACAAGATCGATGTTCACCCTTCATATTTTCTCTCCCTATTAGAGATAGGAATAGTTGACAGGTCTGTGTAAGATGTTGAAATGATCTGACAGTGTAATAAGTAGAAGAAATAAAAAACATACCTTGTCCCTGCTGGGGTTGGAACTACCCACCATCTGGTCTCCAGCCATACACACAATACTGCTTGACGAAAGGGAAATCCCCACTAGCTGTGACTAGCAAGGTGACCTTTCAACTTTTACACTAGTAATTATACTAGAACTTTCCAGTATGAAGGGGGAAAATAATGTCCTATTAGCTTAGGTTATATGTGCAGAAATTAGCTCAGATGATATATGCAGAAATTAGCTTAGGTTATATGTGCAGAAATTAGCTCAGGTGATATGTGCAGAAATTAGCTCAGGTGATATGTGCAGAAATTAGCTCAGGTTATATGTGCAGAAATTAGCTCAGGTGATATGTGCAGAAATTAGCTCAGGTGATATGTGCAGAAATTAGCTCAGGTGATATGTGCAGAAATTAGCTCAGGTGATATATGCAGAAATTAGCTCAGGTGATATGTGCAGAAATTAGCTCAGGTGATATGTGCAGAAATTAGCTCAGATGATATATGCAGAAATTAGCTCAGGTTATATGTGCAGAAATTAGCTCAGGTTATATGTGCAGAAATTAGCTCAGGTTATATGTGCAGAAATTAGCTCAGGTTATATGTGCAGAAATTAGCTCAGGTTATATGTGCAGAAATTAGCTCAGGTGATATGTGCAGAAATTATCTCAGATGATATGTGCAGAAATTAGCTCAGGTGATATGTGGAGAAATTAGCTCAGGTGATATATGCAGAAATTAGCTCAGGTTATATGTGCAGAAATTAGCTCAGGTTATATGTGCAGAAATTAGCTCAGGTGATATGTGCAGAAATTAGCTCAGGTGATATGTGCAGAAATTAGCTCAGGTGATATATGCAGAAATTAGCTCAGATGATATGAAATGAATTTTCATCATAATGTGTGTTTATCCAACAACAAGCCCATGGATACCTGTTAACTATGCCTCTTACATATATCCAGTGCTGTAGAATTATAAAACAAATGTTGCTTCACTGTCATGCAGTAAAATGACAGCCTGCCTGTTGAATTGGAATTTGAATTTAACTGTAAATTAAACCTTTGGCATATTACATAATATTATATGGCAATTCTTATGAAATGATAGAAATCCTCTTCTCATGATTTCTGACTCCGGAGGCTGAATCTTCAAAACGCTTTGTGTTTCCTGTATAAACTTTCAATGCTATTATGATCAGTTTTCATTTCTTTACAAGTTAAATATATGTCTCAGGTTTGTATAAGGTTTTGACAGGTTGCAATATTTCAAATTTTGTCTCATTGGTGAAAACATGTCATGGAAATTTTGTAAAGCTGTAATTAAAACCAAAACCTCTAAATGATAGTGTTTTCACTATTCTTAAAGCGAATTTTATAAAAGAGATTGTTTATAATAATCAAACACTTAAAAAATTAGTTTCAAATCACAGGTGTATGATGTAATATAGATTTATATCGACAATATTTATAATCAATATTAATTACAAATATCTTAATTTTTTTAGAATTTGAAATTTTAAAATTCGGTTTTAATATTATGCAAATTGATGTACCTCAATCATTGATCAAGGCTTATTAATATATAGATGTGTAATTTTGTAAGTAATATATATCTATCTATATATATATATAAAGAAATATTTCTAAAATTCTGTTTTGTGCTATCAGCTGTTTAGCTTTCGTACCCTAACATAACTAGATGTTTTACATTTTGTGACACGAGTCTACACCAGGAAGAAACAACACCATCAGGACATAGAAAAGATTCCCTGAGGCTAAACTGTAAATGTCACCCCAGGATACTACAGCAACACTTTCATCTAACTCAGAAGTGCCTTCATTTAATGTATCACAAATTGATAAAAGTCTTTTGAAATGAAAACAGCCCGCAGAAATAAATTCATATGTCACATTTTTATAATTTTAATGTAATTTACAATCAAGATTGAAAAAGTCACTTATTTTA